TGGATATGATATGCTCTGATTGAGTTTTAGAAATGTTTTAAACGTATATATGTAAATGAGAATTTTATAATGTTGAAAGTTTAAATTTCGTGAGTTTTATATGTTTTGCGAAAATTACTGTTCATTAATGTTAATACCGTATAGTATTTCATAAATACGTATGTTTTCTTAAATTGGTTATAACGAACACAATTCAACAATATATTATCATATTTTCTTAATATAAGTCGTTAAGAATATTGTTTTAAAAAGTCAATGTGACATCTTGGACTCGTATTCGGGTCGGATACGGGTTGAGGTGTTACAATTTTAGCAAGAAAAAAGAAAAAAAGAGAAAAAAAGGAAAAGAAAATAAATAAATAAAAAGATTTAAAAGGGAATTCATGGCATTATTTTATGAGGATTATCTAGATTAATAAAAATGTCATTTTGGACGCTCAACCCGACTCACAATCAAGATCTTCACGTTTTTGAATCTTTGGATAAATTACTATCGCGACTCCCAGCTTTATCGATCGATATTAACAAGAATTTATAATGGAGCGAAGGCATCTCAATGTTGTCAGTCAGTTTAGCTAGTGCAACTCATTTTACGACAACACGTATAGTACTGGAGTCACTACAACAAAATAGGTTTTAGCGGCGTTTTTAGCTCTATAGCGGCGTTTTTAAGCGTCGCTAAAAACTTTCTCGGTGTATGTATAAACACCGCAAGAAGCGCCGCAAAAGATAGCGGCGTTTGTGAACAGAAAACGTCGCAAAAGGCCCAGCTCTATAGCGGCGTTTTAAAGGGAAAACGCTGCTAATTACCTTGTCTTTAGTGGCGTTTGTTTTCTAAAACGCCACTATATATTATGATATTTAGCGGCATTTGTGGTAAAAAATGTAGCTATTAACTATGTATATAGGGGATTTTTTTACAAACGACGCAAATGTGTGGTCATTAGTGACATTTCCTTCACAAAACGTCGCAAAAGAACCTAACTTCTGGTAGCTTTTATTTACAAACGCTGTTATAGTTAACTGATTTCGTATATATCATTTTCTACTTTATATTACGTAAATTTAATATTCTATTGCATTATCTAATAACAATAAACTTAAAATTTAATTACGACATAAATTATGTAGAAAAATAATTCAAAATTATAAAATTAAATTAAAATATAACATAGTTCAACATTGTTCACTAGAATAAAAAACAATCTTCTAGTGGCAATTTGTATTGATCTGCATCATCAGTTGATTATTTTCATCAGGAATGTACCTTAAATTCAAAGAACAATGAAAATAATGGATTCAAAGACAATATATTACAATATGATAAACAAGAAGAAAAAGCATGATAAGATATTTACTCGTGCCCACTAGGCATCAATTCTCAAACTTAAAGTTAAAAGCTTTGGGTACTTCAAACCCTATATCCTACTTCTTGGAATTCACATATTTCCCTAGAAGCTTACACATCAACTGGTTCTTCAAGCTTTTGATCCTAAAAAATAATAAATGGCATAGATATAATTATGTGGATACATTTTGCCATTATGTGGGTTGTTTCCTGAATCGGTTTCGCATTTATTTTTTACATGTAATGTTTCGTAACTGTTGTGGTGTAGATTTTTAAGATTTTGGAATGTAAATACTTCTTTGCATTATGCTTCAGATGTTTTTATGCAAGCTTGGTGGGGGTTGATCACGAATTCTGAAATCTGGAGAATGATTCCTGTTGCGGTTTTGTGATCTATCTGGAAGTATAGAAACAAGCTTATATTTGAGGGTGGGCAACTAGATCAGATTAACCTGTTTTTGTAACACCCATAACCTGTATAATTATACCTATATAGATTATAGATGTTATCCGAATTTCTAAAAACCATTTCTCAATTTAAGCGTGATTTAAAATTTATTTCTTAAAATGGTAAATGATATTATAAAAATATCATAACATATAAATCATGTTTCGTTGTAACCAATTTAATTCGAAAGATTTTTTTATGCATAGTGAACAATACCCGTGAACAGTGAACAGTGGCGATGAACAGTAGGGGAATCGGTTTCCTGTTGGGGGAATCGGTACCCCAAAATCATTCTGGAAAATTTTGCTTAAAACCATGGTTACTATTCATGCTACAGTAACTGCTACAGTAATTTCCGAAAATACATATAAATTCATAAAAATTAACCTTACATCACTATAAAAATTTTCAAAATTTATTCAACAAATAAATTTAATATTTTCAAATTACATGTCACTATCTAAAATCAAATTCCATCGCAGGATGTCTTACTGATATTGAAATATACCTTTCGATGCTTGAAGTCACTTTGAACTCTTTAATCCACTATTGGCTTTTTACCTACGCGTGAAAATCATCACACGCTAAGTATAAACTTACTGAGGCAATTAAAACATTTAACAATGCAATACAATTCATGCATGATTTTCAATGTCAAAATCAAATTTCCATAAAATCATTTTACTAATATATCCAATATTTTACCATGATCAATATAATATAAAATCTCTTACCATTTATCCCATAAGCTTGTAAGCTTATTTACCAAAATACTTACCATTTAAATTACATAAGCTCGTAAGCTTATTTTACCCATATACTTGCCATTAGTCCAAAAGCTCGTAAGCTTATTTGTATGCTTACCATTTATTAAGTAATAAACCATAAACCATAGCCTATAGCCCAATATACAACCCTGAGGACCCTGGGTATTCGAGTAATATTTGCACCGTAGTGTTACACATAAGGTCGTGCCCACCATATACACCGAAGTGTATTACACATAAGGTCGTGCCCACCATATACACCGAAGTGTATTACACATAAGGTCGTGCCCACCATATACACCGAAGTGTATTATAAACCTGCAGCTGCTATACTCTATGGCATGTCAACTATACCCTGTCCCTCAATGACTTATTTGGGCATATAGTCTACTTTATTCGATCCATCCATGGCAAAATATATTATTAAATTTAACATTGGGCAGTTCATACCTGAAAACATTCATGGTAAAATATCACATTTTTCAAGATCAATGCATTTTAATTTCATACTTTGACATATCAATGTCAATTTATAAAAATGATATAAAATCATGCCGATATAAACAAGGTCGACTTATCGCAAGTCTTCCTGATGATGTATAAAACATCCATGTACAATTTCATGCATGTATTGCTCTCACCTTGACACTTTATATCTTTCAAAATATTTGTGCCTCGCTATTGTCCACAATATACCCTTTTTATACTTGACTTACTTCAATTGCAAATCAACCATGATCTGTATAAATCACAAATTTATAATAATATATATGTTAGTATTGTACTAACATAACCATATCCCAAAATAATTCAATATCATACTTCAAACTCATTTCCACCAAATAATTCAGTACTTATTAATTCCTTTAACATTGAAACCCACTTTTCTAATTTACTCAAAATGGTCCTTCACTATTTTATCACTTAGATTATTAATACCAAAAATTCCAGTATGAAATTATTTCACATCTAACACTCATTTCAATTCCCGAACAATAATTTCCAGCATAGTACATCAATTATACAACACTTATACAATCCATCCATTTTCCAGAATTCAGACAACTCGCACTACCTTTAAATAATCAATATTCTATATTTATATACACACTGGAATTTAATTTTGTTTCTTCTATTGAAAACTAGACTCGAATAAGAATCTATCCATATAAAGAACTCCTTCTAATTCATTATGTACAATTTATGGCGAATTTTCAAAGTTGACCAATAAAATCTGTTTTGTACAGAATTCTGCTGTCCGATTTTTCTGACCTTTCCTTGGTTAAAAATTCATATCTATTTGTATACACCTTGAAATTAATCTCCGTTTGTTTTAAACAAAACTAGATCGATATATGAACACAATATATAAAAATAACCTCAAAATTATTTTTATATAATTTCTGATGAATTTTCGAACCTACTGCCAGAATCAAAATCCAAACTGTTTTCTTTAACTTCATTCATAGGTTCTTCATCAATTATTACAACCAATTCTTTAAAATCACTTAACTCTTCTAAACCCATAAAACACCAGAAAACAGCATCCCCTTCATCATCTCAAGATAAACTTGAACATAAACCCTAGTAATATTCATGTCAAAACGTAGAGAATTGAACGTAGAATATTTTTCCTAACCACACCAAGTCTAATTCTCAAGAACTTGCTTCAAAAGTCAAAACAAAATAATTTTACCTTTCAAGCTTGAAGAACCATATGAATAGGTGGAGAGAGAGCCTTTGTTGCTGAAAGTTTCCACTTACTTTGAATATGCTAATCAATAATAGTCTTATCACATTACTATTATAATATAAATGAATTTTAAATTCATTTAATCCTCTTTTACCATGTTGCCCTTAATGAATATTCCAAACTACAAATTTGCCACTCTAACATCATCTCTTACTTCATTATCCAGAAAATATCTTAAATTTTATTTTATACTTCTATCCTTGAAATTTTTAAAAGTTGCAATTTAGTCACCAAATTCCACTGTTTCAATTAAATCTGAAAAATTCAACATTTCCAAACCAAATTTCTCTGATCTAAAATATTAACATAATATTTCCAACCATTTTATAACATCCTTCAATTTTTTTTAAAATTCCAATTCGATCGAAATTATCGATTCCTTATCGACTTTAACCCTTTCTAATTTTTCTTTATTAAAATTTCAAATTCAAAAATATGATTTCTATAAAGCTCCACTCTTAAGAGTAAACCATCTATTTATGGAATAGAATTCTTTTTAGGAAATTATCACTTAATTCCCTAAATGTTTTCCCAATCTTTTACTTTGACCATCAACCTTTCAAAATTTACATTTTGGTCATCATCTAGATTTTTGGGGTATTACAGTTTTTCCTTGCTAGATATAGATTGGTGTCTTAGTTCAATGCTAAATTCAATAATTGTTCGGGGTTGTTTGACTACCTTATGAGGGATCTGTCTATTGCAGATAGTTGGGGCAAACTGAGCAGTAAGGTGGTTTCAAAAGTTATGTGGGTGCCGCCTCCTCAAGGCTTTTTTAAACTAAATGTTGATGGTGCGGTCACGGAGGATTGGATGAAAGGGGGTATAGGAGGGATTATTAAAGATGCAGGGGGTTCATTGTTGGCTTTATTCTCTGAGGCAATTGGGAAAGGGTCTCCTACAATTGCTAAAATATTAGTGATTAAAAGGGGTTTGGATATTTCTTTGGTTCTCAATGGAGTTGCAAAGGAAGACTTATAGTTGAGTGTGGTTGTCTTGTCATGGTTAATTGGATTAAGAATTTGGGTGGTTGCCTGAAACAGTTGTGTTTATTGTTTAATCAAATTGTAGAGATTTACAAGGATAAAGATGTGGAGATCAGACATATTTCAAGAGAGGCTAATTGGGAGGCGGATAAGTTGGCAAAAGAGGGCATTGAATGAGTGAGGTGTGTGTTGGACTTATGTGTTAGAGTTGGGGGGGGGGGTTTGTATTGTTTGGTATGTTTTGGATGTTATGGTCTGATGATGTCTAAGTTGTAATGTTCGTTGTTGCAATAAAATTATGAGACTCTTTTCCTCATTCCAATGCTCGACGAAACTTTCATATTTCGTTAAGTACGAAGGGGGTTCTTAATGAGGTCTCCCTATTCCATAAAAAAATAGACATATAACAGCCAAAACAAGCTCCCAACTCATGCACAGGATCGTCTTGTGCTTGATATACAAAATTGAAATATTTGACCCCTTAGTTCCAAGTCTAGAGACACTAACCATATGATCTTCACAAGTGATAATTGCACTTGTAGTGAGAATATAATCCACAAGGCTACCACTTTAGAACAACAACAACAACTAAACAAAATACCTTCATAGAATATACTACATCAAAATGTCCACCAGTCCCAAAACGAGGGACCTTTCCCCAAGCCAGTGTGTCAATGGTCCCCTGAAGATCATCCAAAACTTTAGCAGTTCAGCCTTACCAACTTTGACAAAGCAAGCACTAGGATTCTGCAACAAATTGTATAAAGTTAAGTTGACTACAAAAATGTTTTACTTAAGCATCAAAGTAGAAACAATGACAGAATTGACCAAAAAGCATCAAAGGAAAAAAGAAGATGAATATCACCAATTTGTAATCAACTAGTAATGCATATTTACATAAACAATTTAGGAAAACATAATTTTCAGAAGGATGTCACTTCTTTAGGCATTTAATTTTTTAGCAGTTTACATTTTTCTTTTAAATTAGAATAAGACCCTACCATAAATTATGTTTTTCCTATCAGAAATTTGGTCATACAATGATACAAGTTCAACTACTAGAACTCCCACCAATAAACAAACTAGAGAACTAACAGTGATGGATAAATGGGAAGTACACACTAAAGGAGGCGTAGGACATTCAATAATTTCAATAACATAAGAGTAATAGAAAAAGTTTAATGGCAATCCAAATGGAAAATTTAGATTCCAGCTATATATACTCAAATTTGATGGTAGATGTTGAAGAACGATGATGCTAAACCCAATCATTATCAAATTGTCTATAAATGGATTGCCAGCCACTCGCTTAATTGTTTCCTCGGCCATTTTCACCTGAAAATTTAAGAATAGAACAATCAAACCTGACAACCCAGAAACAAAGTTGCAGAGATCATAACCAACAGTGATTTTTAGCAAGAAGTAAAATAATTAAAGAACTGCGATACTCTTGCCGCAGTTTCAAGCATAAAGATGCATGATTGTGTTTCACAGCTGTCAACAGTCCAAACACTGACATTGCACAAGAGATCATGTCAGTATCTATTGTATAAATTTAGATAGACATACAAATCATGAACAATTTTAGGTATATGGACGGTTGAACACACCATAGAAGTAACAGTGTGTCAGTACTGGACATGTCCAGTAGATTCCTAGAATGAAGCACGTACAAATCACCAAAAAACAAATTAATCTCCCATCCTCAAGAGAATTATATCCTTCAATTCTATATGAAGAAGGAATGTGAATTGCCCATGGTTTTCAAAATTTGCCACAGACTAATCTTCACAAACTTCTATTGTCAAAATAACATATTTTCCTGTCATTTATTTCGAAGTAAGTTTTCAACTTTCAGGAGACCATATATTAACTAACTGAAGAATGAAAGGGCAAGGCTTACTTTCGCTATTAACATCTCAATATCAGCCTGTAGAATTCTGTTGTCAACAGCAGCTTCATCATACTTGTGATTCATGTCAGTTAGACGCTTGAGTAACGTGGAATGTTCAACTCTTAATTGAGCAACCTAGACACTAAAATGATAAAAAAAATACCATTGGAAGCGTTCATTTGCAACTTCTCTCCATGGGAAACAACCTAACTGAAAAAGAGTAACATATAGTCTTCACAAAACCATAAGAAAATAAAATAGAAAGCCAAGATTGCTTATATAAAAGGGCAATATATCTTTATATAAGCATAAGATTTCTTTGCAAAATACCTAATGAAGTTATTCTTAGTTGAAAAAGTAAACGCAAAGTTAAATCACTTAACGACTAATGGACACATTATTCCAAGCTATCCACAATCCATTTTACTCGAGCTAATTCAAGGATAAGAGTCACTTATACATGCATACAATTATGTGTTAGAAATAACTGCCAGTCACATGTACTTGAGAAGAAATTAACAGTGTGGGTGGTATCAAAGAATGTAATTTGTTCTTCAACTCATAAATATTAAATACCCTAACAACAAATACTTCAAAGAAAATCCCTACATAGAAATAAAGCCACCAGTACTCTTAAAAATGCAACTACAAAGTTTAGATTAAAGTTAAAGGAAACATACAAATTCAACATAATAAACATTCACAAGTGAAGTTTTCTCTCCAAGACTCCAACAAAGCAACATAAGTTTAGTGTTTACACAAACATAACATGTATTTTGATATCTTTAGAAGACTCAGCTTCATAAATGACTAAACTAGTCCTAGTTAAACTCTTATGCGTTATTGTCGGCTAAATATAATCTATCATTCCAGCAAAATATACCATAGAAATTAGAAAGCACTCAGAAGTTGAAATATGTCATACCAAATCAAAAGCACTCCTACTGCTGTTGGTTTTGGGGAGGTGGCATTCCGGGGCATGATGGTCCGAAAATAGGTACAGCTCCAGGCGGAGGAGGAATTCCAGGGCATGGTGGAGGTGGAGCAGGTATTCCAGGCCTCGGAGGTGGGGGACCAGGAGGTCCTCTAATGATTGGTCCAGGAGGTGGAGCCATCGGCCTCTGACCAAATTGTGGAGGTGGGACTTGGTATTGCTGAGGTGGCCTAACTCCAAAAGCTGGTGGCGGTACCGATGGTGGCGGGCCGCGTTGCATCGGAGGTGCTTGTGGTTGACCAGGGTAAGATCCAGGTGGCATTTGCCCAGGCGGAAGGATCAGAGGCGGACCTCCACCAGGAGCAGGGTAAGACATGGGCAGAGCAGAGAGTTGCAGAACCGGCGGGCGAGAAATCTGAGGCTGCATCATCCCAGGAGCAGGACTGCCAACGCCGCGAACGGGCCCAACAAGACCCGGCTGCGCTTGAACGAAAGGACCAGCAGGGATCCCAGGTCCAACAGCATGACCAATACCAGGGCCATGGACGACATTAGCGGCGCCGGACTTGGAACGAGACTCTTCGGGAAGAGGTGGACCTTCGACGGTCATCGAAATAACCTCTTCACCACGGAGAAGAATAAGGCCAAGCGTTCGACGATCTTCTCATTCTTCGTTGGTGTTGGGGTTTTTCTTTCCTTTAGCAGGAGGAAGCTTACGGAACTCCTCGTAGTCTCCGAGGACGAGATTCATGTGCCGATTGAAAGCCATGAATTTGCCCACCAGCTGTCGGTCGTCTTGGATGGTGACCTGTATCCTGTAGTTGATTAACTGAAGCATTTTGGAACTCTTTGACATCGACATTTTGGCGACTCACAATGTCAAACGATGAGACTGAGGAAGAGAAGTGGAGGGAGAATTTACTATATAGCCCATTAAGATGGATAGATTAGGCCCAAAAGCATTGGTTGGGTTTAAAGAAAATCTAATAATTTTGAGTATATTTTATTTTTATTTATAATGAAATTAGATATTTGAATTCAAATTTATTATATCAATTTTTTATGCGTTACATATACCAATAATATTATTTGAATTTAGAGACGATATGCAATTGTGAATTTAGAATATAAAGCGTAAAATGGATATGTAGTATATTCGAATATTAAAATAAGTGTATTATGAAAACGGAGAAGAGGAGACTGACCGATGCAGGAAAAACCGACGCGTCGCTTTTTCTTGGAGTTGGGGAGCTGATCGGCGTTGGGATGTTGTTGTTTCTTTCCCATTTGACGGAGGGTTAGGGTTTTGCAGAGCGGGAAATGAGGAACTGTGAGGCGGGAAATTATGTTTTATAAATTGGGGGACAATTTAGGGTTATTTGTACATAAACTCATTGAAGCTGTGCAAAATAGAGACAACGAAGGAGGGAATTCATCACGTGCATCGCACGCGATGAATTAAAAAAACTTGTTGTGTACTAAAATAAGAGTCTTTAGCGGCATTTGTACAAAAATGCTACTAAAGTATGAGTTTTTAGCGGTGTTTGTATAAAAACATCACTAAAGTATGAGTCTTTAACGGCGTTTGTAAAAAAAGTCACTAAATTACGGTCTTTAGCGGCGTGTATATAAAAACACCACTAAAATAGACGTTATGACCATATCTAGAAGGTTATATTGATCATCAAAGTGATTCAAAATTAATTTAAAAAATTTAACATATATGAAATCAGATTTTTCAAATAAATTATATAGTTATTATCACTTAATCAAAAAATAGTTTAAAAAAAATGTAATTTAAATCCAAGACTCTGATTCTCAAAATGTCAATCCGATTCTGTAAACAAATACCCCTAACGTTTGATAGGATATGCAAATTTGCCCATATTTTTTTAGAACATTTGACCCCACAACGTTTTATTTTGATTCAAAAGTCACCCTCGTTGGATGAAAACCGCTAGTCAACTGACGATCAACGCCTCCAACTGACTAAGCAAGCACACGTAGACACAAATGATGACGTGGTGTGTCTACATCACTATTGTATGCTGACGTGGAATTGACACGTCAAATTTTTTTGTTAAAAAGTTAATACTTTTTTGAGAATTTTGTACCGATGAGAGAGCACACATGTCACTCTCTCATTGGTGCGGATTGAGAAGAATGAATAAAAACCATTTTGCGTGGAAATGGACTCAAACCTAGGGCAAGGGCATGAAATGGTATGCCTCTTACCACCAGGCCAAGCATGCTACTCAATTTTATAATGAAACAAAACTTTATTTTACCCATAATAAATGTTAAGTTTAATTAAACAAAATAAAACACATGTTTCAAATATCTCACATG